GTCCATTTGAATCATCTTTACTACAGATTCAGAGCACAAACCAATGTGAACTGAAACACAAAGAAAGAAACCACACTTTTGTTATTAAAACAGATCAATCCAAGATTTTCTTGAAAATTAAACTTCGTATTTCAGCTTCCTCAACTAAAGATTTCTATGAAATCGAAACTAAGGCTAAAGAATCAGTTTCAAACCATAAGTTCTCGTAGTGAAGAAATCATTACCTTCGTCTTCACGTTTGCAGGAGAATCCGAAATCCAAGAGCAGATCTGTAATGAATAGAATATACAGATCGCAAAACAGAGAGAGAAATTAAGATTCTCGCAAAACAGAGAGAGAAATTCCGATTCTTCTTCTTTTTTTTTTTTTTTTTTGTCAGACCACAATCATGAAGAATATATAAATCTACAAAAATAGATATTACTTACATATTTGATTGATATTATGAACTCTTGAAGACTTGTATACACTTTTGTTTTCGCTTTCTCTTTATGTGAAAGAAAGAGATTTATACAAAAAAAAAAAGTGTGTAGGAGCAGAAGAGGACCACGATTGGTGGTAACGGGTAAGCGTTATTTTAGAGAAATTAGTTAATAAATTTACCTTTTTACCCATGCAGTTACATCAATTCTATTGACTTTTGTGGGACATTAAAGGGTACATATGAGATAATACTTGCAGCTTGGCTTCGTAGTACAGTAACTAATGAAGGAATTGTTTATTACTATTTGTTAAGCAAATGACAAAGTGCACTTGATTCTTGTCGTTTTTCACTAACTAGTAGTTCCATTACTCAACATTATAAGATATTTTTGCTATTTTATTAACACAAAGTTACATGTTTAAGACTTAAGAGTAACTTACAGTTATAGGTAATGGTATAAATGTGGTTTGCAGTACATTTATCATCAATTTTGTGGGTTTGACTGTTAGGTTAAATTAAAAATCGTAGACCTTTTTGTTACACGAGTTAGATCCGACAAGGAAGAAACCCCACATTGTCTGGGCTGGAATGGTCAGTTTTTTTAGTACATTTCTAGTAGTCATGAGACAATGCATTCAAAAATCTCTAACAATGATTCATTGAATAGAGAAAATAGTTACCAAATAATAACTTCCTCCAAATAATTAATACTTAAGGTTAATAAAATGTATAGTTTCAATATTATTAATATTTAAATTTTAAAACAAACCAATTTTTGGTCCGAACATTTAAATTCATATTAATTCATAGAAAAAATATGATGATATTTAAAGACATAACAAATCAAAGGAATTTTATTAGTAAATAAAAATTAAATATACTTTCTTCAAATATTATATCTTCTCAAATAAATTCAAATAAAAAAATTATATATTATGGAACGGGTTATATAGCAGGACGAATTATATAGCAGGATGGATTACATAACGGGACGGGTTATATAGCAGGACGGGTTAGAATGAATATTATATAAATTTAAAATATCATTAAGACGGTGCTACAACACGGATTAAATCTTCAATTTATTATTTTGTCAACACTACCAAATATAGAATATTAGACATATCAAAAACTTTACCTCATTATTTTTTTATTTTATAACTGGAAAAAGGAAAAAAACGAGTTTCAATAGCTCCCCAATCGTATGTCATCTTATCCTCAGCGTTATTAACCAACAATATAAAAAAACGTCAGCCCGTGCTGTAGCAAACTCACCGACAATACTAGCTTATTTAAATTTCATTGGCTACACTAATTTTTACCTTATTAACCTATGAAAACAATTAATTATTAATATCCTTTCTAAAAATGTACAAAAATATATACCCGCAGCGGCCCGGGTTAAATCCTTGCAGAAACCTAAGGATCAGACTCATGTCCTATTTTAATTCACACATATGAAAAAACAACAATTCCAACTTACGTATGATCATGTACGTTTAATATCATCCACCAATCTAAATCCATTTTTTAAACATTAACCAATTATAAAATACATACAAAGGACTCTAAAAAAATATCGTTTCGCGGCGGCCGCGGGTTAGAATCTAGTATGACATTATGGATGGATCAACTTATGGATTGTTCATGTATTCGACTGCATGGTTTAACTACTTTAGAGATAGACATCATTATGGGAAACACAAATACGATAATCATGCGATTGGAGTGAACCGAGAAGGCATATACGACCAATGTTTGGCTGCAAGTTATTCGTCGTGTCTGGTTATCTATGTCATTAGGTTAAGGAGTTATATGCTTATAAAAAATGATGCACATTCAAAATTTATGATGCATTACCCACTGGAAGAAGCAAATGAAGAAGATGGAGATATACAAGAAGAAGCACTGGTTTATCTTCATTACTTAAAAAAAATTATTTCGTTACGGACAACAAATGTTATGAAGTGGGGGAGAGATGTCTCGAGATACTTTTTAAATTGTCCACTCAACATAATTTAATAAATATAAACAGATATATTAATTGTAGGTTGACAAAGTGTTAATTTAATTAAAAATATATAGATATTAGTTGACAATTAAACTTAAACTTCGTATTTTAGCTTCCTCAACTCAGATTTCTATGAAATTGAAACTAAGGCTAAAGAATCCGTTTCAAACCATAAGTTCTCGTAATGATGAGATCATTACCTTCGTCTTCACGTTTGCAGGAGAATCCGAAATCCAAGAACAGATCTGTAGTGAATAGAATATACTTTCAATTATAAGATTTTGGCAAGCAAAACAGAGAGAGAAATTCTGATTCTTCATTTCTTTTTCTTTTTTTTTTTTCTTTTTTTTTGTTATAAATTAATTGTCAGACCACAATCATGAAGAATATATAATAGATTTTACTTACATATTTGATTGATATTATGAGCTCTTGAACTCTTGAACACTTTTGTTTTCGCTTTCTCTTTATGTGAAAGAAAGAGATTTATACAAAAACTGAAAAAAAGTGTGTAGGAGCAGAAGAGGACCACGATTGGTGGTAACGGACTAACGGGTAAGCGTTATTTGCAGAAATTAGTTGATAAATTTACCTTTTTACCCATGCAGTTACATCAAATTCTATTGACTTTTGTACTACCTTTGAAGTGGGATATAAAGGGTACATATGAGATAATACTTACAGCTTGGCTTCGTAGTACAGGAAGGAACATCCAGTGAATCTTTGTTTTTTTTTTTTGTTTCTTTCGTATGGTTTTTTAATGATAATGTTACATAAGGGAAAGAAGATGAAATGTGATTGGGTATTTGTGATTTGTCCTAAGTTCAGTTAAAGAAGTAGACACAACATGCAAAATAGCCATTGGCTCTGTTGTGGAAATACTAGCTTTGTGCATGCCTATCTGATAATCCACGTGGCATTGACCAGCAAGATGATATTCATATTTTTTTCCACATAATATTTGTTATGTAAAGTAAACTCACACATATTGTACGTATTATTCAATGAATTACTTGCCTCTGCACTCTAACTATTTAGTGGTTTTCTTATTCTTGTTATTATCAATCTCTAATGTAGAAACGAATTAGACATCTTCATTCTATCTTTGAGGGTGACGAGAGATATAGTGTTATTATGTAGTGTCTCTGTTTTGTCTTGAACTCTTATGGTTTTCTTTCCTGTTATCACTATGGGGAGGTAATATAACAAAATCGAATAATAACGAGATAGTAAGAAGTCATACAACATGGATTAGATAAATTGGGCTAGAGCCATATTGCAATATTGCATCTTATATTGGATAACTATGTTACAAAATATTTGATCATCTTCAAAAGCAATAGTGTAATTAATTTAAAGATTTCCGGCAGAGAATAATCTTTGCAAACAAAATTGAGACTCTTTTGTAGCTTCTCCCATAGACACAAAAACTAACTAGTTGAGAAGTTTGATAATGAACAAGAATATAAATTTGATAGACATTAGTTGTCATGAAATCTTTTGTTATTTAATGTTCTGCATTTTTTTCACTAGTATAATTGTATTGTTGAATCCATCTCTTTTTTTTTTAATAACCACATTTTCACTTAAAAGGCTTTTAGCAAAGAAAATAAAAACAACACTAGTTATGACTTATGATATCTTTAACTTCATGATGAAAATACATATATAAAGATCGCATGCAAAATCTAAAAAAAAAAAGGTATAGTTGTGTAAGCCAAAAAATTATTGGGCCGAAATGAGAAATGATTTATTAGAAAGGCTAAAATCATAATTTCCTCTAAACTAGTGACCAAGACAACAATATATTTTCAGTTTGTGAAAAGTGTAATTGTCAGAGAGACAGGAAACAGTGAAATTGCATATCGTCGTCTTCTGGCGGGAAACGAAGCCCTAGAAAAAAGGTGAAAGCTCTTTTGTCTTCTTCTTCTTCTTCTTCTTCTTCTTCTTCTTCAGACTGTGTGAGAGAGAAAGAGATGCATTGGATTGCAACCAGAAACGCCGCCGTTTCAGTCCCTAAATGGCGATTCCTCTTCCGCTCCTCATTTCACACTTCCCTCAAACCCTCCTCTCCAATTCTACTGTAATCCCCTTTTGTCTTCTTCCTCTCCTTTGTATTAAGCTCATGAGTAGGCTCTTTGTTATTGAACTTTATTTTGAAATATTGGACTTTTATATTCCCTAATTAGAATCTATGGCTTTGATTTTTGTGATTGAGGGGACAAGAATTAGTTCAAAATTTCTCTTATTTTCTTGCAATTTCATACGAATTCTTCTGATTTTTATTGGTTTACGAGCTCAATTTCCTTGAATTTTAGACTTGTTTGTGATTTGTTAAGGTTCTTGGTTCATGATAGAATCTTGTTATGAAACTGTTTTAAATTTTGATGTGTTTGTTTTTGGTTTGTCATGACAGTAATAGAAGGAACTCTGAAGGTATATACTGTCTTAGAGATCGAAAGTCTCTTAAAGGAATCACAACGGCTTCTAAGAAAGTTAAGACGTCAAGTGATGTTCTCACTGACAAAGATCTCTCTCATTTGGTTTGGTGTAAGGAGGTAAGTCCTGTTTTTGTATTTTGTGAAGAAACCTTGGTCTTGATATTTCACATGGTCTTCTTGGATGTTATTGGTAAAACTGTTGATGGTAGAACTTGACTGATGCACCCAATCATGATTTACTGATTTTTCTTCTATGGTCAGTTCTCTTCTGAGACTATTAGAAGATCTCATCTCACTTTTCTCGATGTCAGCCTATAATCCTTTTAGAGCTTGGTCATTATATGATAAATAGCTTGGTTATTTGATAAGTCTTTCTTAGTATGACTTTGGAGACTAACATTCTTGCTTGATGGAGATTTATTAAGAATCAGAAATGTGTTTGGAGCCTCATATTATAAGTTGTAAGGCTGTAAGCAACTGAGTTGGAAATAGACCATTAGTTTTCATCCCAGTAGTCCAGTTCGTTACAGTAGCTTTGTGGCCTTCATTTATGCAATATTTGGATTTTCTTCATTTCAGTCTAAAAGATGGAAACCTCAACTGGGAGATGTTGCAGTTTAAGTCAAGGTTTCCACGCGAAGTTTTGCTCTGCAGAGTATGTTGTGTTTTCTCTCATGTTCTCTTCCTAGTTAAGTTTTAGCTGAACTAAAATTTTTGTAAGATGTTTTGCTGCTTTTCTAATCCCATGCGTTTTGTGATTTATGCTACCTCCAGTTAGTATAATGTTGGTGCAATCAATTTAAAGTCTTTGCCTTACAAAACCTATCATTTTTTTCTCTCCAGGTAGGGGACTTTTATGAGGCTATTGGAATAGATGCTTGTATACTCGTTGAATATGCTGGTCTAAATCCCTTTGGTGGTCTTCGATCTGATAGTATTCCAAAGGCTGGCTGCCCAGTTGTGGTACACAATCCCTTTTGAATTTCAAGCTTACTCTCATTGAGCGCATTGCTCTGATTTGAGTGGATAATCTGTTTCCTAGATAAAAATAAACTAATTTGTCTCTGGCATTTTCTTACAAAAAACACTGTTTAACAAGAGGACAGCCATATCTTCTTATGGGCAAATGAAGCCAAGTTTTCTGCAAGATCTCAGTATGCATAAGGACATTTCTTAATCTTTGCTTTTAGTAAAGTATAATCTGTTTTGATTTCATTTAGTCTCTGAAAGTTGTAGTCGTAGAGGCAGAACTTGGGAAAGTTACATAAGTAGCTGCTTTATTTGCCATTGCTTAGATGAAATCATGTTTTGGTGCTTTTCGTTGATTAGCAAACATAAGTTCTGCTGCAATTTCTCATTCTTACTCTTCCCTTCAGACCATCGTTGTCAACAATTAGTTTTTCTTTTTCCACAAATTCTTGTTCTTAATCCAGTTAAAAAATTTTCTTTCTTCTGCAGAATCTTCGACAGACTTTGGATGACCTGACGGCTGACACGCAGCGGTTATTCGGTGGTGAGTTGATAAAAGAAAATTCCTTACCACCTTATCATGTCCCTCAAGCATGTTGCATAAAAACGCTGACTATTGATTACTGCTGCATGTGTTTTCTTCACTGTAGTGTATTGTGGAGGAAGTTCAGGGGCCAACACCAGCACGCTCTCGCAAAGGTCGATTTATTTCAGGGTATGTAATAAGTTAGAATCCGAAACTTTCTGATTTCACAAGTAGCAATATTCATTGTTTTACTATCTAGGAAAGCACATTGAAACTTTTTTTCCCCTTGACATTCATCTTTCTGACATGTAAAATTGTAAGTATATAGGCATGCACATCCAGGAAGTCCTTACGTATATGGGCTCGTTGGTGTTGACCACGATCTTGACTTTCCTGAGCCTATGCCTGTTGTTGGTAAGTATGTCTTACTGTATTTTGTTACTCACTGAAATATTACTTTGTGCCTCAATTTCAACCTGTTAAAGGTTTAAGTCTTTATTTCTATTTTTTTTTTTTTTTTGTAATAACAGGGATATCTCAGTCAGCAAGGGGGTACTGTATGATATCTATTTTCGAGACTATGAAAGCATATTCACTAGATGATGGTCTAACAGAAGAAGCCTTAGTTACCAAGCTCCGCACCCGTCGCTGTCATCATCTTTTCTTACATGCATCGTTGAGGCACAATGCATCAGGTTTTGCATTCTTACTACAACTCTACATTGTATACGCATCTCTGAACTCTTGAAGATAATGTCAAATGTGGACAGTGTGCCAGTTTATCCTCACATGAACATGAGTACACCCAGGTGGTAGCATCTGATCTAGCAATCAGTTTAGAGTGTCAGGAGACTGTTAGAAGAAAAATAATATTCATGATTTGTGTCAGCTTAATTAGCTTTTGAGCTTTACGGTCTTTTATGATACAATTCTTGAAAACAGTTCTATGCAGGGACGTGCCGCTGGGGAGAGTTTGGGGAAGGGGGTTTACTCTGGGGAGAATGTAGTGGCAGGAATTTTGAATGGTTTGAAGGAGATACTCTTTCCGAGCTCTTATCAAGGGTCATAACTACAAACTTTGGCTCCTTATTAAATTTGATTTGCTATTTGCTTGTGACATTTCAGTTTGGTGACAAATCAACATTTACTTCTTTTTTTTTTTTTTTTCATCACAGGTCAAAGATGTTTATGGTCTTGATGATGAAGTTTCCTTTAGAAATGTCAATGTACCTTCAAAAAATCGGCCACGTCCTTTGCATCTTGGAACGGCTACACAAATTGGTTGGCATAGTTCTTCTCTGTGAATTGTGTTTCACTAGGAATTAGAAGTTTTGGAATAGTAAAGCATGCTAATAAAGTTATATGGTTGTATTGCAGGTTCCTTACCTACTGAAGGAATACCTTGTTTGAGAAGTGCTAATTTGCAAGCTAAGGATAACATGAGGAAAGCAGCTCAATAAGTGGTAAGTCTCAAAACTGGTAGAGTGTCTTGACACAAGTGGTTGAGTGGGTATTGTACTAATGCCTCAAAAATATGAGTTTAGATACACATTTGGATGGAGTTTGTGTATTTGGCTGAAATTGTGGAATTTAGAGTAAAGTTTGAAATACATATTTACCCAAAAAAGTTTCAAGAAAAACTCATTCATCGAAAACTTAGTTATTGCTTCAAAACTTTTTGGGTTTATAATCTAGACATGTCCGTATATATCAGTCACTTTTTTGTACATCGCAAGTCTGTTTTGTTTCGATTTTGTTCCATCTTGTCTCTATTGTGCATGCTATAAGCTCATACATCGGCTGTTTTTTTGTTGCAGAATCCGAAATGGAAACCAGAAAGCTTGGAGGAGGTAGATGAAACCGAAGTGGATGCTCTCTTTAAGCCACTAAGTCTTGATATTGGAAGAACTAAACGTATGAAAGCGACTTACCAACAAAAGAATGTGAACATGTTTTTGTGTTGACATTCGTCAAATTGATCGCTCTCGTGTTGCAAGCTTTGTGCACATTTCCCATCTATTTATCAATGTTGTTTTCAAGTCGTAGATTGATTAACTCACAAGAAGTAAAAACTTCAGTATAGAGTGTTACAATTTCTATATTCCTAATGGTATGCAAAAAAGTGGTAGTGAAAGAGAAGTAGAATCACAAAAATTGTTTGGCAAACTTAAAAAGCAGTTTTAAAACTCAAGATAATTAGATAGAGAACCATAAAACACATAAGCAACACACAGACACATTCAATCAAGAATCGGACATTCTCTGAAACAAGTGATGCAAACAAACAGACAGCTTCAAAGAAGATTGAATCAACATTCATACTTCAAACTTTTCAGGTAAAAGTGAGACATTTGATACTTCAAACTCTTGAGGTAAAAGTGAGATTCTTACGCTTTCATCAGCTCTAAGGTTGGCAGGTTTAGGCTTGGATCTTCCAGTGCCATCATATGAATTCTTATGCAACAGTGACTTGTCATAATTACTACTGTTCTGAGAAGCCCTTCCTTGTCTTTTGTTAGCAGCCTCATTTGATGAACCACTAGCATCACCAAACTGCTTCAACTCGCTCTCTTCTCGGCTTCTCATATGCTCACGCGACGGATCAACTTGCTCAGGTTTGGTTCTGGAAGGAGGAGGAGGAGCTTGTGATTGCGAATCCGAGTTTCCAAATTTGGGTGCATTCGAACGCTGTTGCAGCCAAAGTGATACACAAACTCAATCAGTTCAACCACAAAACTTCCAATAGCTTCAAGATAGAAACATCACACACCAAGATAAACAACAACAACACATGATCTTTGCAATTTCGTTGTAACTAAGAATCTAAAAAAAAACATTGCTTTATTTATATCAATTTTCATTCAATAAATGTCCAATCATAAGTTGAAATATGGCTAAATCAAAAGTAGAAACTTTCATATAACCCTTTTCTTATCTAAGCAATCAGAATTATAAAGTTGATGAACCACAAGCATCAACTTTATGAACCACAAGCATCATAAAGTTGTTTAGTACTACGGCTCTTACTCTGTTTCTTAATAGCTCCACAATCCACAACATCTCTTGGATCATCACACATTATAAATGATCTATAAACTCCTGATCTCAATTTCCCTTCAGGCATTGTGTTTTCTCTCTACAACAAAATTTTCAAACTCAATTAGATCTCAAAACATAAAACATTACAGAAATCTTCAAGAACAGATATCTAAGATAATAAACATGAATTAAACACAAAATTCCAAGAACATATTAATTTAAAATTCTCCTAAAACTAAATGGTACTTTTAACAGGAAGAAAAAAAAAAAAAAAAAAAAGAAAAGAAAAGAAAATACAATCACGTTTTCGATTTGAAAGTTTGCAATGTTTTGGGACTTATTTTTTTGTCTTGTTCGTTATGTCAGTGAATCAAATACTATGTTAAAAAATAAAAGTTTTAGTCAAAGAGAACTACACAGGGCATGGGCAAGTCATCTCACATCATCAGTGAGCTCACGTCATCATCACATCATAAGCAACGATCGGATCAAATAATAAAAGAAGAAGAGACAGTTTGCACTTTGCATATAGAAGCAAAAAGAGAAGAGAAAACACTCACTACTTGGCCAACAATGGTTTCCATCTCTTCCATGGCTTTCCCTTCTTCTGTCACTTCCATGGCTTTCCCTTCTTCTGTCAGAAGAATCTTCTCATCTGTTTCTTCTTCTCACAACTTCTCAAGGATGAGAAGCTTCTCATCTGTTTCTGTTTCTTCTTCTGTGAGAAGTTTCTCCGTGAGAAGCTTCTCATCAACCAATGAGGAGCTCTTTGCAAGGGAGGCTGAGGAGAAGCTTGCAAAAGAAAAGGACGAGGAGCTCTTTGCAAAGGAGGCTGAGGAGAAGCTTGCAAAAGAAAAGGATGAGGAGCTCTTTGAAAAGGAGGCTGAGGAGAAGCTTGCAACAGAGGCTGAGGAGAAGCTTGCAACAGAGGCTGGAAAAGTTGAGTTTGCAGAAATTTCGGACAGGTTTACTAATCTCCTCAAAGTCCACCTAAGTCCTCCTTTTTACGGAATCGGACGTAAACAAACGAAGTATTGGAATTCGTGTGCTCATTATGCAATTAAGGGACTTGGAGTGCAGTTTGATTATGATAAAAAAGAAATACCAGTCAATGGAAATGAATACCTATACTTTCTCTTTTTGCTCCCATCCTCGGAGAGAGAGGTAGAAATCTTGATGGGTGAGAAAAGTGTCCAGTTCTTCTTGGATAATGTGGAACAAAACGATCTGGCAAAAAAATAATGGGATTTGATTGAAGAGAAGAAAGCAGAGAACTGGGATTTGATGAAGAAAGCAGAGGAGGAGAGGAAGAAGAAAGCAGAGGAGGAAAAGAAGAAAGCAGAGGAGGAAAAGAAGAAGAAAGCAGAGGAGGAAAAGAAGAAAGCAGAGGAGGAGAGGAAGAAGAAAGCAGAGGAGAGGAAGAAGAAAGCAGAGGAGAGGAAGAAGAAAGCAGAGGAGAGGAAGAAGAAAGCAGAGGAGGAGTTGAAAGGAAACGACGTGGCAGAGGAGGAGCAGGGAGGAGAGGAGGACGACGTGGCTGAGAAGTGAGAACCCTAATTATTAGAAAGCTTTAGGAAGGGTATGTGCTTAATTGAAAGTATTTTTCATGGTTCCCTAAGTATTTTGTTGAATTGTTTCTATGTATTTGCTTAATGGATTTAAGTATTTAAGTATTTTGTTGAATTGTTTCTATGTATTTGCTTAATGGATTTAAGTATTTAAGTATTTTGTTGAATTGTTTCTATGTATTTGCTTAATGGATTTAAGTATTTAAGTATTTCGTTTTCACTAACATTCATACACTTAGTTATCATATTCATCCCCAAGAAGTTGTATCTCTCCATAGCACAAATCAAAGTGTCGAGATTGGTGGCATCAAACACATTGGTGTAGACTAAATTCCCATCTCTCAAAGGCTTAATTTAGTCCCGTCGTCAAAGAAGGCAAAATCCAAAGGGAATTAAGTAAGCATTTCCATAGAGACTCAGAAAAGGGTAGATGTTAACCGTGAAAGGCGAATCATGTGAATACAAGAAATTGATTATCTCAATCGTTGCATCCCTTAATTAGCTCAGGCTTAAAGTCTCCAGCTGATGGAACAGGGTTCCCTTCAGGCGAAAAATAGATATCTGCGTTGAAAGGAACAGTGACTTTAGCATTTTTAAGATCAGCTTCCTCTAATGCTCGTTGGATGTTGATGAGAGCTGTGTACTTGATGTTGACTCCACCATGGTAAGCATAAGCAGTGACTCCACCATAGTTATCCTTTAGCATCTTCAATTCACTACATTTTCAGGTGGAAGCTGGTGACTTGCCATTGTTCCCCAGTTCACTCCTACACTACTAGTGTTGCTAGTGGCAATAGAAACAACTTGTGAGACAAGAAAGAAACAGAGAATAATCTGATGAGAAAAGAAATGGTTTGCTAATCTTGTTCTCTCTTCTCTTAACTTAAACCGCAGCTGCGACTCTGGTCAAACCTCTTGAAGATCCTGGCCGCAGTATCAATCATCACAGGGGGAACTCACAAAGTTCATCAGATGGATCTTCATCAGTGATCAAACCCAACCCCAAGAAATCGCAGTCCCATGTTTTCTGACACGTTGGTTCCGCTACAGGAAGGCTTCTGCGTCTGGCTACTTCTTTGGCAAAGTCTAGAGCAAGTCTTTGGTCTGAGATCACAATGCTGTCTCTATTCTGAAAAGATGATTTTTGGCTTCTTTTGATGTTAGTGTTGAAGAGATCCTCTGCGATAGGAATGATTTAAGAGAGATTTGGGAGGCTTCTGGCTCTTGAGAATGTTGAATTGTGGTACAAGAAGAAACTTCTCCATTGTCACAATGGCCTTTACAAGAACAAAGTAAATATGAGGAAATGCTTAAAAGAAACAAACTTTGAAAACATTCTGAGAGTTAAGAAGTGTAGTAATAACCTTGAATGTGAAACTCTGAAGAAGTGGTTTCCTCTGCAGAAATTTGGTTTATTGATTCACGCGTATCCTGTGAAGAACCTGAATTATTCTCTGAACCGAGATCTTTGTCTTGTTGATGGAAGTTTCTTCTTGGCCTAGATGAGAAACAGGGTTAATAAACAGGGTTAAATGTTCCTCTGCATCTATCACATTTGTTACATTCTGACTATGTTTCTTCATTTTAATAAATAATATGGTTGGCAAAAAAAATAGTATTTTGAGAAATTTCTCTACAAAAAAATCACAAAAACAGAGGTTATGTGAGTTAATCATTGTGTCTACTTTGTAGATTTGTATGAAGAACAATTCGTTGGAACTTAACCAAACTAGGCCAAAAGGCCCAAGACATAATAACAAACAAGTCGTTCATGAAGAAAAAGAATGAAAGAATAATATTCAAAACCAGAATCAACATCACAACATCTAAAGAAGAAACCAAACCAAAAAAAAAAAAAACAATTTAAAATGTAATCATATATCGTAGTAAGTCAATTAGAGAGTAAGGCAATTTTCTCCTCTCTTATGGTTTAAAGAGAAGGTCCACTATAACCTTGACCGGTTCTTTTAATTTTCCCCATCTCCATTTCCCTTGTGGCTTGACCCTCGCTGCTCGAACCAGACGGGTACAGTCCATAGTCACTTGTTGGATTACTGTATTCGCCGGTTGTGCCGTACTCTTTGAGTTCCAAGAGCCATTTTCCTAAACTTCTTCATGTCATCGTTGTATTGGCTCGTATCGTAATCTGTGCTTCCTCCATATGAACTGTAAACGTTGCTGTGACCCGGTCTCATCCCTTCGTTAAGATCTGATAGCGATACATTTCCTTCTAACGCACGCACAATCTGCTCGGATATAACACCAATCACTTCACCATTAGTATGAACATTTGGCAAGTGAAAAAAAATGCATCTAAGAAAATATGTTGACAATTATTCGAGCAAGTGTCACAGGTATAGTTTTTATTCAATTGGTATTGGTTTGCACAGTATTAATATGCAACAAAATATACGGGTAGCCATAACCCCAAACCGATTCAAAATCAAACCGTAAGATTTTTGGTACTAGTTAAGTACAGTATAGATATTTCAAAACCAAGGAAATCGGAAAACCAAACCGAATGGGCTTCCCTATGATAAAAGGAAGGTACTGTTAATTAAGTTACCTGGCTCATGCGAGGTCTACGGCGAGCTGAATGGCGAACACAAGCTGCAGTACAAGCAACCATACGAGCCATCTCCTCTTTGTCATACTCATTACCCATCTTTGAATCAGCCAAACCATCAAAGTCTCCTTCCTCAGATGCTCGGTTAAGCAAAGGTCGTGCCTGTTCCACCATCATTCACACATAGCTTTTGCTTCAGTCAACAGTCAAATTGTTAAAAATTCAGAAGTTTAGATTATTTGCAGTCGTAGAAAGTACCCAGTCAACTAAGCTGTCATCTACATAGACATTGTTTGCATCAACAGGGCACCGCCCGGTTATAAGCTCCAAAAGTACAACGCCAAATGAGAAAACGTCAGACTTTTCTGTGAGCTTTCCGCTTGCAGCATATTCTGGAGCCAAATACCTAAAATCCCAAAACCAAAAGTTTCAGAATTTGTACAATGATAAGGATCACAGACATTGTGCAACCTGCATAAATGTACATATTTAGTAGATTCAAGATGATCTTCACCCAAAGGTTCCCATCAGGCGTGTAGATACATGAGTGTTTGTATCCGAAGCAATCTTGGCAAGACCAAAGTCAGCAACCTGAAAGATAGAAGAGCTTCAGTGACACAAATTACAAAAACACTTCACAAACATATCGAATCACGATTTTGTCATACCTTAGCTTAAAATTTGAAATCCATAAGTATATTTGCTGCCTTAATATCACGGTGAATGATTTTCGGATTGCCTGCAAACATTTATATATACCTCATGAACAAACACATACTGTAATTATCAAACACCTACATATACTGCATTTCAGATTTTATACTTACAATCTTCATGAAGATATGAAAGTCCTTTAGCAGATCCAAGAGCAATCTTCAATCTAGTGCTCCATTCCATTGTAGGCCTTCCCTTCCCTATAACAAAAATTCAATTCCCAAACAAATCATCACTAAT